CATCACACTAAATAGTATGATTAAACAGAACTCATCACACTAAACAGTATGATTAAACAGAACTCATCACACTAAACAGTATGATTAAACAGAACTCATCACACTAAACAGTATGATTAAACATGACTCATCACATTAAATAGTATGATTAAACACTATCATAACATTATAAACATGATTAAACACAACACATCACACTAAACAGTATGATTATGATTAAACACGACTCATCACACTAAACAGTATGATTAAACAGAACTCATCACACTAAACAGTATGATTAAACAGAACTCATCACACTAAACAGTATGATTAAACATGACTCATCACATTAAACAGTATGATTAAACACTATCATAACATTATAAACACGACTCATCACACTAAGTAGTATGATTAAACACTATCATAGTATTACAAACATGATTGAACACAACACATCACACTAAACAGTATGATTAAACACTATCGTAACATTATAAACATAATTAAACACGACTCATCACATTATAAACATGATTAAACACGACTCATCACACTAAACAGTATGATTAAACAGAACTCATCACACTAAACAATATGATTAAACACTATTATAACATTACAAAAATGATTAAACACGACTCCTCACACTAACCAGTATGATGAAACACTATCATAACATTACAAACATGATGAAACACTATCATAACATTACAAACATGATGAAACACTATCATAACATTACACAGTGTGACTAAATAATACTTATACTTCATTATATCTGGACCTTCACAAAAAAATTTCTTTTATACAAAGTATTATTCTTCAAAATGGCTACCATAAACATTTGTCGGAGAAAACAACTTATTCATTCTTAACAAATGAAATACTTTTGCCAAGTCACCTAAAATATCTACCGTATCCAAACTATCTTTATACACCTGTTTACCATATCTTGGAAGACAGAGCTCCATTATCATGATCAACTGAAAAGATAATGTAACTGCTACTATCCTCAAGTTGATCTGAAAGTTATTTTTTAAACCTAATTTCAGACTAAAAAGGTTTTTCCACCACTAAGCTTGTGTACTGATTGCCCATTGTCCACATCTCATTTATCTATACACGTGCAAAGACTGTAGGGCCTCTTATACTAGTGAACATAATGTCAAAACAAATAAGCTGTCTGTCTCTTATAGAAACTCCAGATCAGAGTTAAATCAGGTCAGATCTGGAACCATACAGATCTGAAAATCCTGATTTCATATCTGAATTAAATCAAGTTGCAGCTGGTGAAATCAGGTCAGATCTGGAACAACAGTAGTTCAGATAAGAGTTAAATCAAACCAGATCTGGGAGCTATATTAACATAGATTTTCAATTATTGCATCCAAATTTGAAAATTATACCCTATACAAAGTAATCCACTTTATATATATATATATATATATGGAAACCAATTATAATAACACATCCAAAACACATGTTAGCTAACCCAATCAGACAAGCAGTATAATACAATCCCTATATCTTAGTATAGTTACATACTACTGAATTTTTTCATAATTTGTCATTGAGTATTAATAGTTATATATTTTGAAGTTCTGATACAAAACTGGTTATCTTTCCTTACCAACTATATTTATCTTGTATGGTTTTCTAGTATTATACTTCTTAAAATGTGGTAATGAAAATTTTTCGAGGTTACCAAAACAGTAATTTTGTGAGGACTAAATTTCTTCTTCTGTGGTTACAATGGTAATCTTTAAGACAAGCAATTCCATAAAATCACCAATCTTTAAGACAAGCGATTCCATAAAATCACCAATCTTTAAGACAAGCGATTCCGTAAAATCACCAATCTTTAAGACAAGCGATTCCGTAAAATCACCAATCTTTAAGACAAGCGATTCCATAAAATCACCAATCTTTAAGACAAGCGATTCCGAAAAATCACCTATACAGTAGTATATTGTCTGTCAGTCATTCAGTAAACAGTAAAATGATGTCACAAAAGAGATACTTAATGTTGTAATTTGTACTGTTGTGGTATCAGTAAAATGTGCGCATGCCATGAATCACAAGAAGAATTATACACTTTCTATGACAGCATGACATATGAACTTTAAAACAAGATATAAAAATTTTTACTCTTAATTTGGGTTGTATTTACACTTGAAACAGAACACTTTCACGGATCCTGCAGAAGTACATCTGGTACTTTCTTAACATGTTTACACTTTTAGTACTGCATTACGTGAAAGTAGTAAATAAGAATGAGATTTACAGAAGTGGCTTAAAAAATGTATTACATTTTAATTAAAACAAATTAACAGTTTAAAAACATAAAATAGATAGAAGATACATAGGTGAAGTTCTGCTGGTACACACCAGTACTGAGTATCAGAACTTATTTTTAAAGGCAGAACTAGTACCGGGGCTTATTTGAGCCGCTTTGTCATTTTTTTATGTTTACACAGATTTTTTTTTATTTTCCAAAAACATGTCAACTTTTCCCAACTGAGTACCTATACTTTTTTTACCCTACTTTCACCCTTGATTCTATAGTAAAATCACAAATTCCTTTCTCATTTATTATGAAAACAAAAACATACCCAAGTACTTGATTACATTACATTTTTAATTTGGTGGGGTTAATCATCACCAATTCATCATTTTCCTGTATGAGCCAGATGTTCACGTGATACCATTATTGCCCATAGGAATGAATCTTGCACTTTGATAATACTTCTTGGATATTTTTTCTCTTCCAGCTCATCCATAACATTACACACGATTGTATCTTGCTTAATAGACATTTTTTAAGTTGTTAACAAGTTTGTGATTATACAGAGATTTATCTGCTACTCCGAAGAAGTTCCCCATTCTTTTTTTTAAGCAAGAATTAGCCCAAAGTGGTCCCATCTACTGACAGTTTCAACTAAATGCAAATGTTGATATACATTCTATGTTCAAAACTCTTATCCATACAATTATGGTAATTGCTCCAAAAAGAGCATCAAAAGACTCTCTGCTAAGTTTGACACAATTAGCGATATTTTTTCTTACAGCAAGTAGTGCACTGCAACTGCTAGAAAACACAAAATTTTACAAATACTGACCTTCTAAATGGTCACTACAATACAATACAATATGGAATACAATAAAAAAAAAGCCATCCTCTCTATTCAGATGTCCTCCAGTATTTTTGATGCATCAAAGATCGCGGGACTCGTGTCATTGTATTTGAGGGATGGACCTGGAAAAGTTTCATGTCAGTCTCTTCCTTGTCTTCTCAAGTACCATGGCTTTGAATGATTGGTAATATCAAACCAAGTAAAACGGAAACTATGAATAACACCTAAAAGAACATAGTGTATGTAGTCCAAAGAAAACCCATGTACTACAACAAATTATGGCATCAACATTAGAGGTGATGAACCCTTTACTCCTTTCACCATTGAACTTCTTGTATATGGCTTTCTGAACTTGAGTTACCATATGCCCTGCTGAATGAAACTGATGCTGGGCTACAGTTTAAGGATAAATATGAACATGTCCTCCTTCTGGGTGAAAAGTTTTCTCACATGAACCACTGAATTGGTTGATATTTTGTAATTTTACTCTGGGCACTCCATCATGAGATGAAAGAGGAGCCCCAACATATGACGCAATTATTTATTTACTTTCTGGATGAACCCATTTTAATCCTTCTTCAAAGGAGTTCTTCATACTATTACAAAATAGTAGGATAAAAAAGTTAATTTCAGGTTTACATG